CCCAGTGTTAATTGCAAAAATGTTTAAATCTTAACCATTTGTCCTTCATTGAATGATAAAATATGCATTTATAATTCTCAAACCATTTTATGTCATTTTCTTTTATCACTCAGAGTCATGAGAATTTTATAAACTTTAAAACAAATATCAAAAAATGGACAAGGCAATCTAAATTAGGCACAGTTTAAGTAAGTGATTCAATTTTTGAACTTATTACACAAAGTAAGTTATCCTTACTTTGTGTAATAAACCATCATTGTAATAAGAACTCGAGGTAAAACTTATAAATACAGCACCTGAAAACATATAGCACTTCAGTTTTTATAACCTTAAAAATATAAATGTTAGACATTTACATTTCAAAACATTTAAGAATCCATTTAAAGTGCTGTAACTGAGAATAATGAAAAGTAGAAATGTAAATTAAAACAACAAACCAAATTATAACTTTAGCTCAACTTAAAATACATGCAATGTGAAAATATGAGTCTTTAATAAACATTTAATGTCTCCATTGACTGACTGTATGGGTAGAATTGTTCCCCACTGAGAACAGCTGATGCTTATTATAGTTATCAGGTTTAAACTTAGTTGAATCATAGATCCTGTTAAGTGAGCTACCTATGAATGGTATATGTTATAAAATAAGAAATCAACACTATTAAGTCAAATGTTACTATATTTAAAAAGTGGTTTATGAAAAACTTCTGCCTCAATGCAGCTGTGGATCAGTTCCTCTGTTGCTGAGGGAGGTTTTTGTACGACGTTGTATCACTGTGTGAACGGTGTGCTGTTATCCTGATTACAATGATAAACTCCATCATCTTCAGCCTGAACTCTGCTGATGGTCAGAGTGTAAACATTTCCAGAACGACTTCCACTGAAACGATCAGAAACTCCAGGCTGACGGTTTGATACTTCATAAATAAGAAGTTTAATGGCTTCCCCAGGTTTCTGAAGGTACCAGTTTACCTCATTGCCAACATTTTCACTAGCTTTACATGTAATGGTGGCAGTCTGTCCTTGAACAACAGACACAGATTCTGGAGTCTGTGTCATGATTTTGTCTCCTGATGAACCTGGAAGAGAAGAATAAAATATGAATTGGTGTTTTTCTCTGTTATCGTTAAATACAGCAAAACTCAGCTTTGAGCAGAGAGTCTCACCCTGAACCAGGAGCTCCAGGATGGTCAGCAATAGAGTCAGTAGCATCATCATTGTGCTGCTGGTGGTTCAGTGTCTCTGAAAGACCTGGAAAGCCTCTGATCAACACTGAGTTCTTAACAACAGAGAGCAGAGAGGCAGGACACATGCAAACACAGAGTCAGTCATATGGTGCTGAACTCTACAGTCCATAATGCCTCCATTTTACTGTTGATACATATGTAAAGTATCAATGATTAGGGGAAATTAATACTCTTGGGTAACCTGAGCTGCTTACATCTAAATGTGATGCCTTTTTTTCTTATCATGTCTTCTAAATGTGTTTTACCATTTCTTTATTTTATGTAATAATTTTGTACGTGTGAAATTTAAGGTTCTTGTTGGTTTAAACATAACTTGGCTGGTTTTTAGCGGTTAATCTTTCATCATCTGACTTTTTTAAAGCCTACCCTTTTGATTAAAAAAAGTGAATTGTATATCCAGTAGGTAATTTCTTAGCTGAATTTTTAACTAAGGCCCCTCTGTGAAAAAGACTCAAAACCAACTGGGGGGACTAACAAAGGCTACTGTGACCATCACTTCATTTTTTTTCCTCATTAAGATAGAAAACGTTCAGAGCTTCTGGCTTTAATGTTATTAAGGCATGCATGTAGTGGTGCAAGACACAAGGCTTTTTTCTTTTTAATAAGCACATATATCCGACTATTGTAAGCATAGAAATTATGCCGTGCCTATTCTGGATGGATCCCAGGACCAGTAAGTACAATGAAAAGAAAAAGGGTCCTAAAACTGAACCTCTTGGAACCTCATAAGGATGAGAAGTATCGCTAGACTCGTAGTTCCCAAGGCTCACACTCACACTTCTATTGGAAAGATAAGTCCTAAACCAGTTCATTGCAGCACCACGAATGCCAGCAAGGTGGTTTAAAAGAGACATTAGAATGTTAAGATCCACGGGGTTAAAGGCTGCTGTCGGATCTAACAGGACAAGAATAATGTGATCACCAGAGTCCTTTGCCAAGTGGATGTCTTTCAAAAGTTTTGACAAAGCTGAATCAGTGCTATGCAGGGATTTAAAACCAGACTGATACTACTAAATAAAAGTGAAGATTATTCTGATTGAGTATCATGGATATGGTTTTCCTATTCAAATCACTAAACACATGAAAGAGACTCTCATGAGACAAAAAAACTGAAAGAAAACAGAAGTGTCATAAACACATTACCGATAGTGATGTTATTAGAGGTTTTGAGGCGTGTGTCGAGTAGTGGAAGGGGCGTTTCCACGAGGCGCATATCGAGGCTTGCTTCATTTGGGAGAGGAGCCAAAATTGATGACATCCGAAGCCTCGCTACTCCGCCATACCACGTGACTGCTTCAGGAAGTGGTTCAGCCCACCCGCAACTCTGGCAGGCATTTAAACAGCATCAGTATTTAGTCAAGATATGGGAGTTTGTAGGAGAGTTGCTGTAACTTTGATGGTTGAATATATTTTAAGAATAGATTCGTTGGAAAAACAACCAATCTAAAACTAGTTTGGTTAGATTAAGCAATGTAATGATCAAAATCTGAGCAAGCCACTGGTTACAGCTATAACAATTTTTCTAAGTAGTATTGCCTTCCCCTGAGTTATCTCCTTACTATTGGTGTCAGCTATAAGAGATGGACCTTCACTCTTGAGCTTGTAGGTTCTAAACATTTTTAACAAAGAATAAAGTGGCTGTAGGTGAAAACACTGCCAAAGTTAGATTGGTTGGTTTGACCAAATGATTGGTTGTACACATAACTTACAACCTGATTAAAATGTGGAAAAACTATCATGTTTGAATAAAAATTACCAACACCTTTCATTTCACTGGCTGCTTGAGATTATTTCACTAAGATGGCAGAAAACAGTGTAAGTTAAATGATTTTTCTCGTTAAATTACAAAATATTTTATTTTACAGACCGATCATTAACAATTTCAAAGGAAACGGAAAAACAATTGCAACAAACCAGATTACATAACTTGCTGTAGTTATGCACTCCACCAGTAGGTGGTGACATTGTTCACATGAAGCTTCATGAACAGTGTGGATCGTTGAAGCAATTTGGCCAAATGGTTCAATGCCTCATGAGGCTTCATCTCACCATCACTAATTACAGAATTTGCTAATCAATTCCTGCATAAATTGAATGATTTATTGTCTTTTTGATGGTAGTTCATTTTCATTCTGTCAGAGTAATTCTTTAAAAGGAGGATTTATTTAATCAGATCAGAGGATTTATTTAAAAGTTTAAATTAAGATGCAGTATTAGCTAAAGATAATCACATACATCTTGCTTCCTGTTGAAGTCAATCAGATTATTTCCATAGAGCCCGTTTGCATCAGCAGCTCCATGCTCCAGCGCTCTGGGAGAGTTTATAGTCCTGAGAGTTGAACACTGGATGACTGACAGCTGTCCTTCAGGATAACAGAAGATACAGAAATCCTCCTCATCACAAACATGACTTTGATCTGCTTCCTCATCTGGACTCTCCTCTGCTTCACTCAGGGTGAAAAAAATGATTTTCTGTCATGTGAAAACTATATATATATATATATATATATATATATATATATATATATATATATATATATATATATATATATATAAAATCATCTCATGACCAATGTTCCTTCTCTCTCCTCAGGGTCTGATGGACAAACTGTTGCTCTGACTCAGCCTACAGCCAAATCAGTGCAGCCAGGTCAGACTGTCACGATTAACTGTAAGGCCAGTAGTATAGTAGGTCAAAACTCTGTTTCACAGTACTACCTTGGTTGGTACCAAGAGAAAAATGAAAAGGCACATAAAGCTCTGATCTCCAGAACAACGATCAGATATTCAGGAATCTCCTCCAGATTCACTGGAGCAGGGAATGGAATAGACTTCAGTCTGACCATCAGTGGAGTTCAGGCTGAAGATGCTGGAGTTTATTACTGTCAGAGTGCGCACTACATTAACAGTCAGTGGGTTTTCACACAGTGAAAAGTTATTGTACAAAAACCTCCCTCAGTCTGACTGTACAGAAACTAAACTTTGTTGTGCAGCTGGAATCTACTGCAGAGACTGATACAGTCTCTGTAGGCCATCAGTGGAGTAAAGGCTGATGATTGAGGAGTTTGTTATGGTAAGCAGAGCAGAAGCTCATTGACACAGTGATAGAACGTCATAGAAGATATTCCCTTACCTGCAAAGAAGTAGATCTGACTGAAATTTCTTTTACAGATCAATCTTTTCTTATTTTGTTTATTCTCAATTTAAGAAGTAAACCAAATACAAATGTAAATAAAAGAAAACACAATTTAAAACCTTGCAGTATTTTAGTAATGTTTCATTTTCTACCAATGAAGTTATTGAAATACTCCAACACTACTTGAAGTTTAACATTTAAACTAACAAGCTTCTTTGACGCCTATGTTCATCAGTGGCTGTTTAGGCTTTTTGGAGCCACTGAGATTAGATTATTGAAACAAGTTTATTTTCTTAAATGATACAATTATTCCAATTATTCATGCAGTTCTGTTGCAGATCTCTAAATTGATATTTATTAATATATTATTATTGGCTTATTTATTAATACCATGTATTAGATCAACAAGATAAAAATAAAGTTCTATGTGTGAAAGATAAAAGTCTTTTGATAAAGATTTTTGACACACAGGAACATTTTGCAACCAACCAACTGAACAAATAAAAAGTAAATAAAAGTGTCTGAATGGATAAGAAAATATATGATTAATGGCAGAAAAATAACCTCTTATGCTTATTGAAATAGTAGGTAGATGGCAGAATTCAGTAAGTAAATGTTTATTATTTAAATAGGGACCAAACATCAGAGGACAAATGACACAATAAAATTAAAGAATAATCAGGAGAGAAAGAGTGAGAGCAGTGACATATTGAATCCATTATCATTGTCTATGTGAATCAGGTCCACACTGGCAAGTGTTGTTTTGTATTAGAGTTGTAATAAACAAAGAACGGACAGGTTAATTAATCAATAGATACTGGAAGATTTTTCGGGTCTTAATAAATTTATTTAAAAATGTTTTTTTATGAATTGTCAAATGAAATAAAGGAGCTAGTGAGGGCTATTAATGTAGCTTAAACAATCTTCTGACAACACCATATTTGGTTTTGTATTCAAGTGATTTATTTCATTTTTTTCAAAGAATCAGCCCTGAATCACCTGACTACAAAACCGAATACAGTGTTTTCAGAAGATTGTGTCAGATTGTGTTGGTAAATATGAAGCCCTCATCAGTGAAAGGACAATAACATAATCCACCGTGACAGCAGAAGGAATTAAGTCACTATCCTGGTTTAACAGATCAGTCTATCTCCAGAAGACAAGTTATGATCCAGCCGGAGGGCTGCCAATGAGATGTAGCGGGTGCCGACCAGTGTCCCAGATGCTGCGGCCCCAGAGAAATAGCAGGAGTCCAATTTAGGTCTGGGAAACAGATCAGAACAGGAAGGCTTAGAGGTCCAGGAGTCTGGAGTCTGGTCAAGGATACAGTTTAGAGGAGGAACACTAGTTAAGAGTTCCAGGAGTTCACAGATAGTTCCGACTGAACGTTCAGAACAGGCAGTTTCAGTGGTTGAGAGGCAGAACAGGTCAGAATATCAGGAAAACTACAGAACGCTAAATAACTGTTCTCTCCACTGAGCCAATCAATAACAAGAAAGCAGAAACGCTACAGAAAGCTAAAAAACTCTCTCTCATATGGCCCCCGAGAACATAAACATGAATAAGAGCATCAACAGTTATCTTGCCCTGATGGCAAGAGCCGTATATATAGAGCAGGAGCAGGTGGATTAGATGAGCAGTAATTGGAAACCGGGCAGAGTCAGGCAGGTGAATAAAATAAGCAATTAGGCCAGCCATCAGAGCCAAGATCTTGGCATAGGGAGATTATCAAAATAGATGTACCACAACAAATTATATGAATGCTGCTGCAAAATAACAAGATTTATTTTGGTAGAGCCCATACTACTGTAATACGACAGAGAATTGAGCATATAATATGTTTCCAAATGGAACCAAACAGGGCACAAATTACAATATATATTTGTGAGACTAATGTAAGAAGTCTATGTTTACAGGGAAACTTTTTAGAAAAAAAAGTCCAAAATGCAATAAAATGAAAAATAATAAATAAATGTAAACTTTGGTAACCAAATCCTATTTAAACGTTACTATCAATTACTTCAGTGACTACACTTCCTACTGGAGTTAATAAGAACATTTCCATAGAGCCACTTTGCATCAGCAGCTAAATGCTCCAGTGCTCTGAGAGAGTTTATAGTCCTGAGAGTTGAACATTGGATGACTGACAGCTGTCCTTTATGTAAACAGAAGACACAGAAACCTCCTCAAAAACATGACTTTGTTCTGGATCCTCATCTCAGCTCTTCTCAGCTTCACTCAGGGTGAGGAAAATAATTTCTTTGTCATTTAAAGTCATTTGGATGTAGCAGAGTTTCACCTCGCCATCTCAAATCCACTGTTTCTTCTCTCTCCTCAGAATCTGATGGACAAAATATTGTTTTGTCTCAGCCAGAAGCCAAATCAGTACAACTCGGCCAGAGTGTCACTATTGAATGCAAGACCAGTGTGCAACCACAAGGTTGTACCCCACCATGCCTGTCCTGGTACCAGAAGAAAGCCGGAGAAGCTCCTAAAGCTCTGATTTATTTGACCTCATCTAGATTTTTAGGAATCTCCTCCAGATTCACTGGTAGTGGACCGGGGAGTGGAATGGACTTCAGTCTGACAATCAGTGGAGTCCAGGCTGAAGATGCTGGAGTTTATTACTGTCTAAGTACTCACTTGATTAGCAGTCAGTGGTCATTTACACAGTGAAAACTCATCTTACAAAAACCTACCTCAGTCTGAATAACCAAATCTGAATTTTTTTTGCATCTGGGATCTTCTACAGAGATCTTTGAACAAAGAAATGGGAAACCCAGCATTACTTATATATTTTCTCAAAGTTTGAGAAGGCTTGTAAAGTTCTATATATATATATTTTTTTTACAAAATTCAAAGTTTCTTTGTAAGTTTTATCATTAATAAAAAACTTTATGGTGTAAAACAAAACAATGACTAAAGAGAGTAACGCTTTACACCTCAAATTTATAAAACCTTATTAAAGGCAAGTCTTTGATTTCCTTACGACAAAAAAAAACAAACATCAGAGTTTAAAAAGTTCATAATTATTTCCAGGTTTTCATAAAGAATTAAGTCAAACAATAGAATCACTATTCAAACCAAATTTGATTTGTGGTCACTGTTAAATATCTAACAGGATTTATTCGTTGAAGCATCTCTATAAAAAACAATCAACTAACATCCACATCAAGTCAAGAAGTTACTTTCATTTGGTCTAAACACTAAGATAATACCATCATAAATGTACTCCTATAATACACAAAGGGAACAAATATTATCCTGAATTATCCCTATTTTATCATTCTGCTTCATTCAATCTCTATTCTCCTATTCTGCAGAATCTGTTAGTTCAATATCTAACGTTCTACTCTCTCTGCTTTTCCTCATAGTAGCTTACTCTGGTCTGTTTCTGTTTGGCTGTGACTCCATCCTGGAGAGAAATATCAGCTGTGCTGCTGCCATCAACACCTTTGTTTAAACAGGTTGGAGATCGGCCTGTTTTTCAGTGTAGTCCTGTTTCTCTGACTATGACTGGCTAGATGTGCTCTCTTCATCCTCTAACATGGGAGCTGGCTCAGAGCTCGTTTCCTGGTTGGGACCGCCTTTTACAGTTGCCTTTTGTATCTCTGCTTGTGTCTTCTTGAACCCTAGTTGGCCTCAGCAGATGGCTGATCACACTGAGCCTGTATCATTTTAAAAAGTTTACAAAAAGCCAAAAATGTACAACTACTAGATCCCCTTAGACAAAATAAGTAAAATATTTTCAACCGCCTTTTAAAACTTTGTCCATTCAGCTTTCTGATTTCAGTTCAAGTGGAAACATGCTGCCCGTTCAGCTCCTTGTGTATTGCATATCTCTCCTGCCTCTCTGGTCCCAGCTGTTAAGAGTTTATTGTTGATCAGAGGCTGTCCAGGCCTTTTCTAAAGCTGATCAGTTTAACATATTTTCATGCATGAAAAGGAATTTTTAAAAACTGATGAGGCACAACACATTTTTCACTTCAATTAACTTGTTACATTTTTGTAAGATGCATATTTGGCTGATTTTCCATGGATTTTTTTATTCAGTCAAAGATGAATTATAGTTTTTCAGTGCTGATAAGGAGGAGAGACTTTTTAAAGGGAAGTGAAGCAATGTGTCTTGGTATCTTTGTAGCAGAAAATTGTCCAGGAGAAGCATTTTATTACTTTTTATTATTAGAAAAATAACCATCAAAGTGAAGCTTTCCTGGTGGCATTTATATATATTATTTCTTGATTTCTGTTTTGTAACCCGATTAGTGTCTCATAGGTCATGCTTATACCACCATGGCAAGACACAAAATCTGTCCTGGAAGGTGGAGCAAAGTAGAGTTATCTATGCTTGTTCTTTAATATGTTCATCTTCATCAGGCAGAATCACAGAAGCAACGCAGCCAGGAGAACGGAGAGAAATTGTGGGAACTACTCAACAGCAGAGTTTGCTTGTGTCATTTAATATATGACAACATCTTCAGAACTATTTCAAGGATAATTTATGAATGCAATTATTTTGTTGCAGATGCAACCTTGAAGTACACAGTGTGAAAGCAGATGCCACTGTGGAAATACAAAAGAGCCCTACCTCTCCAAAGGAGAAGACCTGCTAAAATTTTGGACTAAATGTGTTGCAGTGTACGTACTTTACCTTATTTTAAAATTTTAGCGACCAGAAGTACTACCACTTCCCTAAATAGTCTGTAGTGTTTTTTGGAAAACCTGATAAAAACATCTTCTTCCATAATCTATTTCATGGTATGTTAAGACACCATGAAAAACAAAACAGTTTTTCCTTTGTATGCTACCTGACTAATCTGATGGAGACTCGGTAGAATTTTAAGAATAGAAGTTTCTTTTTTAATCTAAAAGCCTCTGCAGCTGTGTTTAGTTTCAGATCAGTCAGACTGAGGGAGGTTTTTGTATGACTGCTTTTTACTGTGTGAATACAACTTGGTTGCTGATAACATGCGTACTCTGACAGTAATAAACTGCAGCATCTTCAGCCTGAACTCCACTGATGGTCAGAGCGAAGTCAGAGTTTGAGCCACTGCCTGTAAAATGACTTGGAATCCCTGATGCTCGAGAGCTAACAATATAAATGAGCAGCTTTGGAGTTTGTCCATCTTTCTGTTGATACCAGGCCAAATACCGGTTGCTGTTGTAAACATGAACATTCTGACTGGTCCTACATCTGATGGTGACAGATCCTCCAAGTTCAGCTCTCACTGCTGCAGGCTGAGTCACTGTGACCTGACCTCTGGACTCTGAGGACACAGAGACAAAAACATAAAGCAGCTTCATGGTTTGTCGGCTTCATTTCAGAGGGACAGATGTTCATAGAGGAGAGGAGTTTGATTCTCTGGACTTTACCTGTGAAGCAGCAGCAGAGGAGAGTCCAGATGAGGACGCAGATCAAAGACATGTTTTTGATGGAGAGTATTTCTGTCTGCTGTTGGCATGAAGGACAGATGTCAATCATCCAGTGTTCAACTCTCAGGACTATAAACTCTCCCAGAGCACTGGAGCATGGAGCTGCTAATGCAAAGTGGCTCTATGGAAATAATCTGATTGACTTCAACAGGAAGCAAGATGTATGTGATGGTCTTTAGTTAATACTGCATCTTCATTTAAACTTTTAAATAAATCCACTTTGCATCAGCAGCTCCACGGTTTAACCTGGTATTAACAGAAAGGTGGACAAACTGTTCCTTTATGTCTCTAGTGCTTGAGCATCAAGGACTCCAAATAATTTTACAGGCAATGGATCAAACATCACTTCACAGGACTTCACTCTGACCATCGGTAGAGTTCAGGCTAAGAAGCAAACAAAAAATGAAACTATGTTGATCTAATGACATAAGAAATATATGATTTCTGTGGTAAACTAGATG